GCCGTGAAACATTCGTGAGGATTGAGTGTTATGTTTTTACATTTTTGTTTTTGTACATATATGCATACAAATTTTTTAATTAAATATTTTGTTCATTTATAGTAAAATTATAGCCAATAGATTCACATTGTATGATATCTAATCAATGCATTACAAATAGAATATTCCTTGAGTCTTTAAATTTTGTCCACGTTATCTGCACTTTATTATTAAAATAATAATTAAGTAAAAAACTTTTATTATTCCATAAAATAGCATTAAGCTATGAGTGCATGTGAGGAACATTTCAACATTACAATAGATGAGAATGAAATCATTGTTGGTGCTAAAGATATTATAAAGAGAATTAGACCATCCTGGCCTTTGCAACAATTGCATTTTAAGGTAATTTTCGGTATCCTTTTATAAGAAGTAATAGAAAAATAACTTAACAATGATAATAATAATTGAATTCAAAATTAAATTGTATATCTCTTATGTCCCTTTTGCTTTTAAAAAATAAATCGTTATATTTATAGTGCCCTTTTTATAGTAATATATTATATTTTATTTGTCTACTGGTAATCTTATTTTACCTGACATGCAATACAATTTCAATTTTCGTCATAGAATTGAAATTGTAGTGCAGATTGGAATTTGTATTTTCCTTATGTTCGATTTATATATATTCATTCTTTCATAAATGCAGAGTTTTATCAATTTTGTTTTCATAATTAAATAATAAGAAATATTAATAGCTTTTTAACCTTTTCTTGCACCCACATGATTTTAAACATTGACATAAGTAACAAAAGAGTTTTCAGATAACAATACTATCTTTACCATTACTGATGATATGTAAATCAAATCGAAATAATTAGGAAAAAGAATATCTTTTTTTCTTTTATTTCAGATATTTACTGATGGAAGAACAAATAAGTTGATAGGAATATGGTACATGGGACATTATACAGATATGATCCTGGTTAGAATTTATGGCAATAATTCGGATTTACTGATTGACAGAAAAAGCGAAATAAAAAATATCCGGGTAAAGATTTTATCAAAGTTATTATACACGGCGCTATCTTGGTGATATTTCAGTTTATAATTAAACTGTTATAATTTATTTGCATTCATTTTTTTTTATTAACCTACACATATACCTATGCATAAGTATTATACAAAGAAAAATATAACAAATTTAAATTTTAATGTGTAAACAATATAATGTATATAAAATAAATATTTGTGCATAGATATTGAATAAGGCTGGCTATACTCATTGCATTTATGCTACATTTAACAATGGATTTGCCTATGAATTCTTGGAAGGTGAAACTCTCACTACTGAAACAGTCAAAAATCCAAAAGTATACCCATTAATTGCGAAACGTATGGCTGAAATGCATAATCTTGAATCTGAAAATGAATCTATATCAAAAGATGCTTTTATTTGGGAAAAAATAAAGAAATTTATGCAAATTATACCCAAAAGATTTTCGGATTCTCTCAAGCAAGCAAAGTAAGCGCTTATAAATAGATACTTCCTTTGAACATATAAGACATATTCAATAGTTTAGTTGTTGTAATAGTTTCTACTTTAAGGTTTGAAATGTTGATACCATCCTATGCAATATTGGAGAAAGAATATCAGCTATTGAAAAGTACACTTTCCAAAGTGAATAGTCCTGTAGTATTCGCTCATAATGATCTTCTACTAGGAAATATATTGTACAATCAAAAACAGGAAAGTGTCGTTTTTATCGATTATGAATATACTGCGCTCAACTATCAGGCGTTTGATATAGTTAATCACTTTACAGAATTTGCCGGTAATTACGCATTCTTCAATCTTACAAATGTATTAGACAACCTACCTTTGTATACATAACTACCTTGTAATACATAAAGTGTATTACAGAAAACAACAAAGTATATTATAAAGTATATTAAATAAAATTTTAAATACCTGGTACATTTAAGGTTTTGACGAGCCGGATTATTCTTTATATCCGGATGAAAATTTTCAAAAAATGTGGTTGAAGAAATATTTGCAAATATACAACGCGACGACTAATGTGTCCGAAAAAGACGTTGACAAATTATATTGGCAAGTTACTAAATTTACTCCTTTGCCGCATTTTTTTTGGGGCTGTTGGGCTCTCATCCAGAGCGAGCATTCACATATTGATTTTGATTTTTTAGAGTAAGTGCTTTTATTTATCAATAAAACATATTTACAAATGATGTATCAAATATATCTGATATGATAGTAGAAAGATAGTAGACATACATACTATTTATATTTATATAGAGGAAAGGCCTCTATTATGAGATACTGAGTTTATTTTGGATAAATGCTAGAAATCCAGAAAGAAATCCAGGCAGAATTTAAAAAAATAATACGTTATTTTGAAGGGAAAGTAATAAGCTTTAAGATAACGTTATATAAAATTTAATTCAAATTCCATTTTTTTATTTAAAATTAAAGAAATGTAAAAAGTGAGCAAATCGCAAAATCAAAAAATTGTACTCCTAATATAAGATGCCCCGAGAAATCGATAGTAAAACACCAAGTATATCAGTATTGCAATTAAAAAACTTTATTTAATATTTCTAAAATACAAACAAACAGAGCTAGCGTTCGCGAAAAATAAGCATGCGATAGATTATATTCAGAACTCGTCTTCAGGTAGTTGGAATCAAGTATCGCAGAAATAGGCACTCGACGTTCATCCGTCCGATTGTCCTTTTTTATTATTGTACAATAATATTTATACTTTAGCAACGATTTTCACTATAACATAGGAGCATGGGTTATTTCATATTAGAAATACCCTAGATATCTCATATTATGATTTCCATGCTTTATGGTTTTATAATCATCAAATTTAACTTCTGTAATTAAACAATTCAATATATCCCATATTTTTCTATTAGTACGACCTTACTCTATTAGTACGACCTTACTCTATCAGTACATGAAGAATTTATTGTCAAATATTTATTTATTAAATAATAAACAAGGTTTAAAGGATCATCTTAATGAAACTTGAAGACATCCAAATTCTAAAATCTTTTACAATGACTATAGGTATGATCTAATAATGAATTTTCTACTAAATAGTTTTCAATCCAAGAGCAATAAATTTATGATGGAACCAATAATTTATTAGTTTAGTAGAACGCCACTATCTCATAATAGGGGCTTTCTTCTATATATATATGAAACTATCTATTATCATATCTACTACTATCGCATATACGCACACTAATAAAAATAACGGCAATAATAATTCGACAATCGATTATTTTCTTGTATAATAGACTTATCAAAATTTTAGGATAAAAATGAAATACTTTGATCAAATATATATAATTATTATAGTGAATTTTTAAATATTTTTTCAGATACGCTGCAATACGTTTCAACGAATATTTTAAATGGAAGGAAGAAATTTTTAAGATGAAAACAGAATTTGATGAATGAAACAGTGGCATATATAAAATTTGTAATATGGCATTTTTTTATGTATTTATTTCAATTGAAGTATTTTGTTCCGAATGTATATCCCAGCAATTGTACATGTATGTGTATATATAATTTTTTATTGACTATTGTTATAGATGTATTGATATATTGTAATATTTATATATATGATATTAATAGTTGTGATCAAATATGATCACTATTTTATTGGTGCTGGTAGTGTACAATATTATATATAGATACATCTTTATGACTGTATATTTACAAGTATAATAGAACAAGTACGAGACAACGTTATAGTTTAATTAACTTTAAGTTTTCTTTCTTTGTTAAATATATATGGAATTTATAAAATAAAAATGCCCGAAGAATTAAGTTTATCAGTATAATTAGTTTAAATGTTCAGTGATTACGTACTCTCAATGACAATTTCCAGTATAATACAAATAACAATAGATCAATAAAAATAATCGATTTCAGGGAAGAAGACTATCATATCTCACATTTTTCATTATCGTTGGGTACAAGGTACAATTACCAGCTATTGAAGATAGCCAGTCTTGGATAAGTTACGTTGAGTGTTAAATTTTAACTTATTAATGTTATCGTCAATCATGTCAGCGATTAATATAATTGATCTTTTTTTTCTACATGGTGTTTTTGGGAAAATCTGTATATTGTATTGTGAATTATGATACCATGTATCCAATGAATCATATGATATCGTGAATCAATTCACTTCTATGTATATTATACATTCTGTTATTATGAGTACTGAAATTCTCTAGTTCGTGACTACAGATTTTGAGTATTCGCATTCGCAATGAATAACAGAACGCAGCCTATATGAAATTTGTGAATCAATCGCTTTGGAATGAATTATATTTCTTGTAACGCGGTAAGAGAAGATGCCAAAGTGAGCGAATTTATTGGAGTATTTATAATTTTATTGATTAACATCTAGAAAATTTGCTCACTTTTGTAATTTTCACCTGCTTTCAAGATATACATTCGATTTCATTATCGTTTATTCATAACATTAAGCACACATATTTCTATGTGTGAATCGATGCATCAATAATTATGAAATCGGCCAAGGACCAAGACGTATCAGATGGACATGATGCATTCAGACACACAAATACGCTAGCTCACTCACTAGAGTGCTTACGCTCTCTTTGAAGTTGGATATAAACATTGAGTGAAAATATGATAAACTGTAATCGAAAGGAGAAACATTAGTCGAGCCTGGTTGAGCCAGTTCTCTGAATTTCATCGATATACTTGAGCTCTTTGTTTAACAATAGACGTCGTAATTGCAAACTGTTTGGTTCAGCCGAGTTCGGCAGTTCATTCGTCCATTGTTTCTGATTGTTTCAATATATAAATGGTGCCTTCCAGCGACAGATAGTCAGTACTTTTAACACTGTGATCATTAATCATTTCAACTCGGTATAACATGGGCAAACAAAAATATATGTGTTACACTGTGTCTCTTGGAAAGCACCTAAAATTATAGGAAATTCAGGCTTTTCTTTCTTATTTGTACATATTGATCAAAACGACGTTCTCCAAAACGAATGCTCGCGTGATAATATATGTATAGCAGTTCGCGCGTTGCGCCACTTATTTTCTCATTCTTAGTTGGTGCCATGATGTAAATAGTCTTTTTCGGAAGAACAACATTGAACAATCGGTTCAAGTCGAGAGAGATGGTTGCTTCATCAACTTAAGCTATATCTGATCGCAAACGATATCAGAGAGAAACCTTAATTTCTCTCTGACGATATATATCGGTACGAATCTTGATGCTTCTTCGTTGATAGACGATGTCTCGCGGTGACGATATCCGTTTGATTGAGAGCAATTGAGAGTTCTGTACTGGACAATCGAGAGAGAGAGAGAGAGAGAGAGAGAGAGAGAGAGAGGGGAGAGAGAGAGAGAGAGAGAGATTCAGCGCAGCTGAATCAAATCAAAACTACACCTGCAGAGAGCAGGCTGCAATCAAATACGCAGTGGTGCGTAGTTCGTGTTGGATCGCGCATCTCAGACCTCTCTGAGAAAGACAGAAAGGAACGCTGTGTTCTCTGGTCACTCAAAAGTCTAGACTTCGTATTTGCCGATTGTTTGTCGATAATTGAAAGATGCACGTCACCTGCAAGTGCCTGAATGTGTCCATCAAGTCTAGAAGCGCTGAATTGCAGCAGGTTAACGTTGAATTGACAGATCTAGAGCGTGCTGATGCCTTTTTTCGAGAAGTAAATAAAAGCTTTTTCACTCGTTGCCTTTCTCTTTTTCGAAAAATCCATGATCTAAAAACAAATAATTAAAAAAAAGTGTTCTGTCTCATCCCCTTCTCCCTCTTTCGCTTCTCGCCTGTTTCATTGCAAAGTTAAAATCGGTTTGAATTTAGAGTTAAAGTTTTATCTTCACCTCTTTACCGATATAAATTTAGAGTTTAATCTTACATAGAGATGTGTAGTAGATATGAAAAAATATATGCTTCAATTTTCATAAATGGATCTCAGTTTGACATATCATGTAACTCATGCGATCAATTCCATGTTTTTTTTTTGCAGCACGGCAATAATCTTATACTTTGGGACCCCGTCGTATTATGTTAATTTTTTGTTCAAGCTGGTTCTCACCTTCCATCTTTTGTACATCTTTTTGATTTTATATAAAATGTTTTTTCTAATATTCACATGAGATTAGTGAACATTGATCGATATGACGTTTCTGTTTAGATATTAAATTCTTTTAGCATTAAAAAAAATAATATCTGCATAAAAGTCATACTGTTATAATGAATTACTTATGTATATATAATTGGAATTAAAATATAGAACGATTTAATTATTAATGACAGTGTAACAGATAGTGATTTTGTTTTGAGTTAATATTCTTGAAGCTTCCACGGGTGCTTTCTATATAAAAGTTATGCGTTTCGCGGATTTCCTCCGTGTCCAGATCTATTCTTGAAATGCCAACATTTAAATGCAAACGATACTGCTCAGTATCAGGCTGCTCTTTGCCCTGATGAAGTGGACTGCAAGGTTCACGAAACGTTGGCATTTCAAGAATGGATCTGGACATGGAGGAAACCCGCGAAACGCATAACTTTTATATAGATAGTGATTTTATTTTTGACAGGATTTGGCGAGTATATCAGAATTGGAAAAAATTACTAAAGAACAACCTGGTTTAATGGAAAAAAGAAATGTTGGATCCTGGATTGTACACCGTTGTTGCAATTGCTCAATGTATACTCACGCAGTTCACAGAGAATACGGTGCTGCTTTAGTCCTCATTAATAACAATATTCTTGTAAGTTTTAGACAAAACTTACGTGTTGCAAGAGAGATATTAAGTTAATATTTCAAGAGACGATGGTCTTAATCAAAATAATCTGTTTGTGTTTGCCATATAAATAATTTGTTTTACTTGCACAGTTGCTACTTCTCCTGTTCAATATTAAGTGCCATTCAAATTACCATTTTATAGTGAATTTCTTTTCTAAAAAAAGAAAAAATAGTATGAAATCTTTTTTGTCAGCATTTTTGTTTAAAAAACTAAGAATCTTTGGCCGGAGAAGTAACAACCGTGTTTACTTGATTGACTCTACCTATATTCTTGTTGTTGCCTTTCCAAAATTTTTATCTATTTAATTTTAGTGTAACTTATGAAAAATAATTTATTATGATCTCATTCTTTATCTAAGGATAAAGAATGAGATCGAATTCTCATCTAGATTCTCCCTAAGCCCCAGTTTCATAATTCACGGTTAACCGAGGTTCAACTTGTTTCTCATCTCTTTCCAATTTCCTAAAATTGAAAAGAGATGAGAAACAAGTTGAGTTTGAAACGGCTTAGGTGTCATGCCATCCTTGTTTAACATTGAATAAACAAAAATGATGTGATATTTGGGTGGAATTCAGATAGGAATCTCAGTCTAAGATAAACAACTGATTTTATCAAAAACAATTATCTCTGCATATGATATTAATTGCAGATAATAATTATACATTTGTTGTTTAATTTGTTGTTATAAATTACAAAAATAATACCTATCAGAGATATATCATTCATTTTTATGGACTTGTTAACTTCTGAATAAACTTGTTTGAAAGATAATTATATTGTTATAGCTATCTCCCGAAGAAATAAATAAATTAAAATCCAATCCAGATTATAGCCCAATATTTAGGGTAGTAATTAATCATAGTTTGGAAGATCTCGATGATTATTTGCAACAGCCTAAATTTTCTGGTAAGTAATGTGTATATATGTGTTCAACATGTATTTAATTTTGTTGGATTTTAAAATAATTCATTTATATCTGCATATTATGTATCCATATATTATCTTAGCGTTATATGTTATGTTTTATTTATCTAGTTTCACAATTACCTAACGCGATTCAAGTGGCCCTAGGTGGATTACAACAACAGTTACAGGAGGCTATACAACGTCAAACAATAACTATAGAAGATAAAATACATGCGTTCACTGCTGAGCAGCATCAATTGTTGGAACAATTTCGCGAAAGAGCACACAATGAACATAGGCTGTTATCAAAGTAATTTTATAAGTATGTGTATATTACTATATTATATAATAATAATAATAACTTGTTTTTTTTTTATAATTAGACTAGTATGTAGAGGTGACGAGACAAGTAGAGTAACCAATAATATAGAAACTCCGCCAACAACTCCTGACGGTTTTAAAAGTATCATGACTACCTCTGCAGCTAGTACAGTAAATCCAAAGTCTAATATAATATTCAGTGATACAAAAATATCTAGTAGCCCAAACGTTAAACACGAAACAGCTACCAGACACTCCTCTAAAAGTAGCATTAATGTAAGTCATTTATCAAAGTTTTTTCTTTTAAATTATTACTTGATGTACAGATCAAAAGTCTTATAATTATAATTTTAATAATTATTATTGAATCTGGATAATAAACTTTACAGAATGAAAATTTGAGAAAAAAGGATACAGTGTATATTAGTACCAAGGAATCAGCTAGCTTCGATACAGAAGTATTGTTTCCTTTTGAAGGAATGGAGGATACAGACACAGCCAGCCAAGAACTTCTATCCTCTTCGGAAGACACTGATGGATCTGATACTGATGGTATGAATTTATAGAATTTATATATATCATTAATATCCTTGTGTTTTATTTAAGTTTGTGTTTAAGTTTGTAATAATTAACATATTTAGATTCAAGCCAAAACGAGGAGATTCATATGCCAAGAGGACAGCGGGATGGTCATTCTACGTTAGCTAAATCATTACCTGTTATCGTGCCTGTTTTCCCTTCTATCGTTCATCATACAATACAGGATCAAGACGATGATCAGGTAAAATTTTACATGATTTTTAATTTTTGCAATATATTGTACACTTCTGAGTCTTTTCATGCTTATATTTGATTGAAGTTTACTCTCTCTAAAAAAAATCTATATATAATTATAATTACAGTTACCAACTGAGCCACACAACATTCGAGCTTCAATGAAAGCCTTAGCTAAAAGCGTTAATACTGATACAGTATTTGGAGATTTACCACGTCCCAGATTTTCTACTCAGATCTGATTTATCAAGTATGATAAGAGAAATTCAGTCATGATTTTTTAATTTTTTGATACAAAAAATATATCACAGTCTCTATCATCCGTCATTTGTCTTTTATACAAAAATTACAAGAGGTTTATGTATACTTGGAATAAATATGGCCGGTTTTACACAAAAGTACAGAACGTCCTGTTTTATGGAAAAGATGCCTCTTAACTCAAGTTTTAGATATTCTAGATTTACTAGCTAATGTAAAACATATTTAAAAAAGATAAAACTTTATATGCTAAACTAAATGCGGTGCTTACAGAGATGTTGTGAAAATGATTGTTTCACCTTTACAGGATGGGAAATCACTATAGTGATGTTGAAAAGTGTCATATTTTGAGGCAAGGAGTGTGTGGTACAATGAATAATATAATAAATCTTACTTAAGGAAAAGCTGTAAGATTTTAAAAGTAGATCTTCGCTTCGCCTTCTAAAGTTAAGTCTAAAATGTACTCTTTGCTTTCCGTTTCTTAGTATATTTTATCACTTTTTACTTTTCGTTTTTTTGTTAGTTTGTTTCTTCATTTGTCCGAGATAAGAATTTATGACTTCAAGAACGAGGAAGGAAGGGAAGAGAAGGGAGATAGAGATAAGAAATACGATTATTGAAACGGTCGCAAAGAGGATAAAAGACAAGAAACAGGACAGAAAGAATATATAGTAGATTAGATTTAAAGATCAATAAACAAAAGAATGTACATTAAATATTTATATTTGATTTAAATACGTAAAATTTGGAGTTATACAATTGTATAGTACATACAATTTGTAACTTTATAATTTATTCCAGCATTATTTTATTTACGTATACATTGTAAATGAGTTCTTGTAAACATATTAAATTTTTTAAAAAGATTAATTTAATATATATAGCAGCACAGTAATAATAATAAATAACTACATTGTGCTATTGGCATTATTGATACTTGTACAATGGCTGCGAAAAATTCAGCAGAAAAAGCTTTCTAACTGTTGTAAAATTCTTAAATATGAATGGTTTAGGCCCATCAACGTTACTTTGACTTTAAGCAAAACTTAAAATTCTATTCGTCTCGTTTTAAAGCTGAAAAAGAGACAGAGACAGAGGGTTTAAGCCTCGCTTAAAATCGAAGTAACATTGGTGCAATTGGGCCTTATACATTTAGATCCAGTGAGGAATTAAGGGCAAGACCAATATTAAAGAATTTTACAATAGTTGCAAAGCTGTTTTTTCTGCTGAACGCAGCTAATGTATGATGTACGCATGTACGTACGAATGTTTTACAATATTAATTTTTTGTCCCGTTTTATTGAAAATTAAAATGCTACTAAAAAATAATGTCAACTATGTTTAAGTAAAAATGCTTTAAGATTATATAAAATTAATGTGATAGAAAAGCAGCGCAAAAATGTCAATGTAATAAGAAAAGTTAATTATAAATCATAATTTTTTACATAGAGATAAGATCTAAAACAGATCAAATGCTTCTTATAATGTCGCGTATTTTATTATCAAATAGCTGATATTTATCTGCAATTAATATTTTTACCATATATCGACTGCATAATTAAATGCGGTTAGAAATATTAAAAACAAAAAAAAATAAAATTTTTCACGTAATATGATATCTTGCTTCTAAAAAAATGAAGTTCATTTTATCATGTTCAAACATTATTGATTCAAGTAGAATTATCATGAGACACCTGTAAAAATATTATTTTATAGAATTAAGAATGTATTTTTCATCCAGTTTGCTGTATACTATTAATTTTTACACTTATTGTGAAATATATATTATGTTAATTTGATGCATGTGTGTGTTTCAAGACACGTATGCATAAAGACTATCCTAAAAGTATTCGACTTTTGCATATATCTTTGTCTTTGGGCATCCTCTTTCCTTTGTGGAAAACAGACATTTATTCAGGGAGAGTACCTTGAGGAGTATCCCCACCAATACAACCCAACAACTATTCAAGTAACAATGGTACGCAGTTGTGTGAGCTTCGAAAACTCCGAGGATCGCACTTTACAATGATCCAGCGAGTCGAGTAGAGAATTTGCATTAAATTTTATCAAAAATTTGGCCACACATGTTTCGAGATAATCGACATGATCCATAAAGTTTATAGCAATGATTTGAGCGACAATGGATAACGAGAAGAGTCTCGATTCAAGAAAGCGTGCTAGAGTTGGAGCAACATAAAGGCTCACTGTTTTCTTCGACCAGGAAGGTGTATACATCACAAATATGCTCCATAAGGTCGTACAGTAAACAGAGTATTATTACTTAGAAGGTATGAAACGATTGCGTGACACTATGAGGATCTGTTGGCTATCACACACAAAAAGTGACTTCTAGGACTGCTTTTGGAAGTGGACCGCTGAAAAGATTGCTTCGAAAGGAAACTACTTTGAAGGCGATATTATCCAGAATAGCTCTTTCTCATTATATAGACAGAGGTTGGATATTTTTGGAACAGACCTCTTATATTTACATGCCTAACATACATGTAGTGTGCATATCTAATTTAAATATACATAATATGACACAAATGCATGAAAATGGCAAAATTAATCGTTTTGAATTAATTTTTAATATATTTTATATACTATGACAAATTTAAATTATTTATTTTATGGAAATAATTTGACATTAAAAAAACGAGATGATTAATCGCGAATGTAGCTAAATTAATTAAATATGTAAATGTATGTTTAAAATTATATAAAAATTTTGTATTTAATAGTTTTTGTTATATAAATATGATATTGTAATATATTATTAATTTTTAACTGCATTGCTTTTATAGCTAGATTCAATGAATCTCTGTTATTCTCTGGAAAAAAAATTAACTTATAATCTTGTGATATTCTCATAATTATGTATATTTATGGAATTTTTCGGTATTGTCAGTGAGCAAGAGTAGCTTTATTCTTTGCTGCAAGCTCCATTTGAGCAACAGCTACAGTTTTCATGCCATCCTGTACGGCCGAAAGATTAGCTTTCCATGATACGAGTAAATCTCGCAGTTGCATCCATTGCGGACGACCAAACGTTCTATGCATTGTGCTTGAAATTAATACTTTACGGCCAGCCTGATCCATGCGCGCTCTTACAAGTTTGGTTTTTAAAACTGGAACAATATTATATACATCTCGTGAGAATATTATTACATGATCATAACATTTCGCATTTTTCTTAAAAGTTTGTTTCTTAATGTTGTTGAATGCTTCGATAACTCAATGAAAATATAATTTTACTGAGTCAGTACAGATTCATTTAATATATCCTGTCAAAAATCAGTTGCCACTTAAATAAGCAATAGTGCAAACTATGTTATTTAAACAGGATGTTAAATGTTATTTATTGTAAATAAAATTTTTAGAGTAAAAATAGCTTACCATCAATTATGAAGCTTTCTACTTCAGATTCATCAATCTGCAATTCCTCTTGTATTGTATCAAAAGACATTTCTGGATTTGTTTCTGCAAGTTGCATAAAGGTTAATAGCCTCATCTTTTTCATGTTTTGTTCATGATTTAATCCTATAAGAAAAAAAAGTACATTATAAATTTTATTTTATTGAAATAAAATAAAAGCTTTACATTATCTACATTATGAACTAGATATATACCAAGTTGATGCTCTACAAATTCTCTATGATGCTGATAGAAATGTAAATACGCTGGTAATTTATCTTGTACAAATACAAGAAGTAAATCATGTATTAATTCGCCTTCTAAAAATCTCACAGGTTTTAATGCCAAAAGCGGATCTAACAAAAATGTGTTTGGATCTGCTAATGCAGCTAATATACAACGCTGTGCATCTTCCCTAGCCGCGGAAGCATTCTCTGCTGTATAAGTTCCCAACAATTCCACCATAACAGCTGCTGCTTGTTCTCTAAAACGAATTATACAAATATCTTGTAAAATATATTTTATTGAAATTATTTCTACATTGTATAGAAAATAAGTGAGTGTGTTTGAAAGAGAGGAAGAGGAGAAGTAGATAAAGAAAACACAAGACATTACCCTTGTTTGCAACTTAAAAGAACTTCATGCAACAAACGCAATAACTTTTGCATTTGTTCATTCGATGGAGGAAAGGAGGCAAATTGTTGCTTTAATTGATCTATTCCACTATACACAGCTTTTACTTGATCAACATTGCGAGCTATTTGTACCAAGTGGTAATAAACATGATATCTCATTGGAGAATCATCAGCAAGAGATTGGAATAAGAGCCACAAACTGCAAACATATATCATTTGAAAAAATGTATTTGCAAAAGTTTGTACATTAGTATTGTTAAATACTAAAATCTGCTTTGTGGCCAAAAATACTATTATTTCTCTTAATTAATTTAAATATGATTTGTTATATTAAAAAATAATGTTACATATGTGAATTTCAAAAAATTAACAATGTATTACGCTTTTAAGCAAACCAATCCAAGCTTATATCCAGGTGCTTTTACAAGTTTCTCACAGAATGCTAAAATTAAATTTTCAGCGCGTTCTGTAGGTATCTAAAATAGAACATCGGTAAAAATAAAAAAGAAAATTAATATTTAATTATCCATAATAAAAAATTATCAAAATGTTAAACTTGCCAGAATCATGATAGATACAATGTCATTCAATACAGTTTCTATTTCGCTTTCATTTCCTTCTTTGAAACATGCCTCACATACTCCAATAATTTTATGCAAATCATCTTCTATTCCTTTAGGAGACTTCTCTTCACTGATTTCTGCACCAAGACTTTTAAAATACACTCTTAGTTCTTGCGCCTAAAATAACAGTAATAATAAAAATAATAATATTAAAAAGGTAATTATGTAGTTATAGCACTTCAAAAAGCAATAAATTAAACTTATTACAATATGATTGGAAATGGAACTTGTTTTTAAATATTCAAACTTGAAATACGAAGCGCCTTACAGTCCCGAGTGTTAAGATGTTGAACTAACATTTATTTAAATTGAATTAATTTTTCAGAAATAAATTGAGAGCCGATGAAATTATCGGATTCATACAATCATTCTGATAATCCCCCCAAATTCTTGGTCTCGGTAGTCTAAAGGCTTAGGATCTTGCACGGAATGCAAGAGATCCGGGTTCGACTCCCGGCCGAGGCAATATTTTTCGCAGTAAGTTTATTACAATTTTTAAGATTTGGGAAAATTTGGGGGGATTATCAGAATGATTTTGTGTGAATCCGATAATTTCATCGGCTCTCAATTTATTTCTGAAAAATTAATTCAATTAATAAATGAATGTTAGTTCAACATCTTAACACTCGGGACTGTAAGGCGCTTCGTATTTAAAGTTTAAACTTATTACGTTTTTGCATGAAATAAACAAATCTAGCAAAAAAGAGTCATTCTGCCCTACAAACCGAGATATTAATTCTTAAAGTTAACAGATATTCAGATTAGAAAATTGTCATATCAATGGTATAAAGGGTTACACAAATTTTGTTTTATAAACAAAATTTTTTGCTTTAGAAACAAATTTTCTGCTTTAAAAACACAAATTATTTTCTATACCATTTATGTTTTTATTGTACAATACTTAAAGAATTTGTTTTTAAAGCAGAAAATTTGTAATTTTTTGAAACAGAAAATTCTAGCTTCACATGCTTACATGTTCTCATATCCCTCTATGTCATCAATGTGATAAATTTCCTAACCTGAATAGTGAACTTTAATATCTCGGTTCGCGGGGCTTCTTTTTGCCAGATTCTTTCGTTTCATGCAAAAACGCGTTGAATAAGTCTAATTTCATCAAAATCAGTA